AGAGCAGCTGGGATGGCTGATGAAGTGCTATGTGGATGTAGGCTGGCTGGACATAGTCATGCCTTGCAGATAGAGCATGTATGGGAGGTGTACATGTGCATAAACATTACCTTTCTACTAGGATGTGGTCAATCAAAGGGAAGGCCTTTTTCAGTTTCTAGAGGTCTTTTCTACATCACCAGTTCAGATGATATACCCTGTTTTTGTCATTCACAAGCTCTGGTTAAACAAACAAACCAAAATAACTCGGGTCCTTCCCTTTCTGGGGCTGCTGGTGGCTGGTCCTGCTCTGGCAGCCGTGCTCCCTTCCTGCTCCCTGGGACGCCCTCCTGCCTCCCACCTGATTGCTCTGCTGGCTCCTCTCCACTAACTAACCTCATGGCTGCGCTGCTTCCCTGTCACCTGGCTCTTCATTTGCTCCCAAATCTATCGAGAACGTCTGCAAGCTGTCACGAAAGCAAGGTGCCTGCGCTGGGCCTGCCAGAGTTTATGCCACGCTTGGCAGCAGCTTTTGTAACTCCCTCAGCTCACAGTGTGGCCAGCAGGAGTAAAACACATGTCCCTAAATGGGACAAAACATGACTTGTAAGCTGGCTGTGTTAATGCCCAGCCACGAGTTCCTCACATTTAGCTGATCCCTTTCTGGATGCTGCCTGCCACCAAGGCTCCTCTCCCGGCTTTGCTTGGTGTGGTGCAGCCCAGGAGAGGCTCCCATCTCCTGCAGGCCCAAACCCACCTGGTGTGCACACATGTACATGCATGCACATGCCTGCACGCACTGCCCGAGCGTCCTGCCCAGCCCCCTGGCAGCAGGACTGACAGACAGCAGTCTTTCCTCATGTAATGCAAGCACCAGTCCTCCCATAGCCACCACACTCCCATGGTACTGGCAGGGCTGGGGCCAGGCACAGAGTCCGAGGACACTCACAGGGTGGCCAAGGCTTCATCAGGAAACCTGCTCTGGAAATACCTCACCGGCCAAACAGCTTTGCTGTTTCTTTTGCCTCGTTTTAGTCCTGCCTGCTGGTCTCTTTTTCCCAAGGGGGACACTTTGCTGCCGTCATCCCCCTCTTGCCCTCCCTGATGAGCAGCCCCTTTGGGCTTCCCCAGCATCAGTCCTCCTTCAGTGACTTCCTGGCCCCCCAGTCCCGCAGTTCCCCCTCCAGCGCTGTCACCCTTCCCCTCTCCTTTCCCTTCCTCAGCTTTCCCTCGCTCTTCTCTCCTGCCTCGTTGGGTTAACAGGGGAGAAAAATGAGGAGTCCTGGCATCTTGCTGTACTGCACTTACAGATTAACTCTGTGACCACTCAAGCCAAATTTATACACTGGGGAAGACCCAAATTAAGGTACCTAAATCTTGATTTTGACAGTGAGGGTCAGATTTTCAATAAAGTTGAGCACCTGACAGCTCCTGTTTAGGTATCTGGAGGGAAAAAAACAAAGCTGTGAATGCATGACTGGGAGCGCTGGGACAACAGTCTTGACGTCTTCCCACTAATGAATTGCTCAGAGGTCCTATTATGCGGGAGGATGCTGTTGCCTGATTGCGATGACTGCTCCTACCCTATTCTCCCCTATCTTCTGAGTCCTCTTCTGTCACCTTCAGCCTCTCTACAGTTCTTCTAACCAGCCCATGCTTCTTTCCCAGCCTGCCTGCTTCCTCCTGAAAAGAGAAAGAAAATGATCTCTGAATTCACACACGATAACATATATTCATGGAGAAAATCACTGCTAATTTTCACTGAAGCACTCACAAATGTAATGACTTACCAGTGTGACCCAGGGCTCCTCACATGGCTCCATGCATCTCCTTTTCCCCTTTTTTCTCCCACATATTTGTCTCTCTGTCCTTTTTAAGAGCAATTGATCTTTTTCTGGAGCATTAAGGGCTGGTAACTAGTTACTGGTTATGAAGTGTTTGTATCTAAGAGCTGAATATGCTTGATAATAGCATAAATACATAATTAAAGAGCAGAAGAAATGACTCACTGGATAAGGAAATGTGCTTCTCTTATCTTCTCTGCAGAGAAACGAAAGCCCCAGCAGCTTGGCAGTCCAGCTAACTAAGTGGTTTTATTAAACAAATAAAACAGCAAAAACATCAAAAGAGCTATTTAAAAAGTATGTCTTGATACTAGAGCCAGAGAGATCTTTCAATTTCCACCACTGTTCGCTCCAACCAGGCACCAAGAGAGTCGGCTTCGGCTGATTGCTCCTTACCACGTATGATCCCCACAAAAAGCCTAGCAAGCGGTGCAGGCAGCGAGACCCATCATGGGAGCCATGAATGAAGGACCTCATCCTGTAAATGTTTACACACATGAGTAACTGGACTCAGGCGAGCACTTCCTTTGATATCAGTGGGTGGGTGAAGTGACTCACACACACGCTTGCAGAACTGCCTGCATCAAAAAATATCCACCGAAAGTTCACGTTGTGCTTGTGTACATGGGTATTTGCACCGGAAACCCAAGGGCTTATCCTGATTTCACAAGCTGCAAGGTGTATATATAATAGACCTATTTACCTCAGGACAAACTTCTGATCAGACGCATTGATCCCTCCAGGATCGCTTTGGCACAGACCAACGTCTTCTCCCGTGTCTGGGTGTGCCGGTTGCTGGAGGGCTTTGGCGGGCACCAACGCCAAGGTGCGGGTGGCGTCTCGCTCCCAGGCCTGCTGGAGCTCCTTCCCAAAGCCAGCCCCAGCAGCAGGAAGGGTTCACGGCAATGCCCCAGTATGGCAAAGCCCTCCATGTTTGCTGGCTTTGCTCTCCTCCTAAAACCCAGGCAGGCTCAAGAATACAGCCCAGGAAGCTTTTAAGAACAGGCAGGAAACCGAAGGCTTTGAGAAACATGCAACGAGGTTTACCATAGCCCTGACAACCAGACCCCTCTGCACGTGCTCTGCTTCTCTACGATTTCTGTGACACGACTCTGCCACCAGCACTGGGAATTCAGCATGGAGCAGTGTCCTGGTGGCACCTGCTGTCCTGAACATCACCCACCTCCTCCCCTCTCGTTTATGCTCCCCAACAGTTTTGCTTGCAAATGAGGCTAAGGAAAAACTAGCAGGAGTCCTTAGCTCCCTCTACAAGCAATGGACAGACTTGGACCTCCCCAGGGTGATGCTAAGCCCTCAGATTTGACTTCTACAGTGGGTTGCCCTTTGAAGAGCACTGCAGAGGGAGGATAGAGGGTCAGCGACCTGCGCTCAGGTCCCCTCTGCCAGTTCCCTTCTTCTGCCTCGAGAGCCCCCTCCGGCCACAGAGGCACTGAGGTCTGAGCGGAAATTCCTGCACCCTGATGCAGCTCGGGGGTGTCTCAGCTCTTGCTGAACCTCCCCAGGAGTAGGCATTGGGGGGCACGCAGAGATATTTCCCTGGTGTTTCTGGCCACCCCTGCCCCTCTTTCAGGAGAGGGCGATGGGACTCTCCTGGCAAGGCTCAGGCAGCCAGACACTGCAGGTACCTGGGATCTCACAGTGAGCGATGCCTTATGAACAGGGCCAGCACCGCGCTGTGCTGCGAGCAGTTGTTCCACCCAAACATGTCTAAGGGCAAACCATGAGCAGGTCCCTCTCCTAGTTCTTGCTGTGACAGATTGCCACCCCCATCCCCACAGGGGGACAGGCAGGAGTTCATGCTGTCCTCCTCCAGCAGCGTGGGTGGGGAGTGCTAGCTGCCGCTGAGGCTTCGCTGGGGCCGGCTGGGGAGCTTTTCTGTGCCCTGGGAGCGGGCAGCACCACCAGCACCCAAACACAACCAAATCACTGAGGGCGATGCGCTGTCGCGCTACAACCACCTGGCTAGGTGGGTTCAGCTAGTTCAACTGTGTTTACATGAGGGCAGAAATCTCACTGGAACGTGAGGCTGAAAGCAGCTTTGAACCAGCTGGGCGGCATTTGCCTTTCCACAGCACGACTTGGCCAGCGCTAAGCACTGCTGACGCCTGTTGCTGCTCTCTCAGGACACAGAGGCCTCCAGGACACAGCGTGCCAGAGCCAGAGCCAGCTGAAGTCAAGGGGCTGTTTCCCTCTGAGCCCTTTGCAACTTGCTCCAGCAGCAAGGGATGGAAAGATGGTTTGGTCAGCCTGGAAGTCAAAACTAAACTAACCAGCCCAGATTGAATTTTGCATAGTAAGTGGTTATAACGAACTACTTACAGGAGAGTGGCAGGCTCTGGCTCATTCACATGAATGGCTTGGTGAGTGTATTTGAATGACAAGTCAACCTGAGAAAACATGAAGGTGCTTGCAAACTATTCCAAAACAGGAGTGATGTTTGCCCAAAGCACTGATTTGCTGCAGTTTACTCTGCTGTCTGCAGTATAACCACCCTCCTTCCCAATAAACAAATAACGCTCAGACACCGCACTTGCAACTGCAGCACAATCCCAGCATGGCCACTACACGGCTATGCTCTTCAGCATATAATTCACTTTGACTGCGGGAGCCATCCTGGAAAAGGTGCTCAAAACTAGCAACATACCTAGATAACCTGCTGAAGTAAGGCTCAAATGGGGAACAAAACATACCAAAAAATATAAATATATTCCTGTGGCACCTGCAAAATTACAATGGCACCTAAGCAGAAGCAACAGCAACGTGAGCCTTTGTGTGTTCCAGTACAAACCACTGCTCCAGATCAGCTGGAAGTGGGTCACTGCGATTGTTTTTGCAGCTGATACGTTTTTCTTGTTAGCATGGTGCATCACGCTGCATTGCAGCCTCCCACCAAACCAGGCCTGGATAGTCTGGGTAGGTGTCAGGGACAGCCTCCCTTACCCCCCACCCTATCTCTGCCCTCCCCTGCCAAGTGCCTGCACCCTGGAGAGCTCTGATTTTTTCATTTTTTTAAAGCTGGATGATGCCCTGCAAGTTGTTGAGGCAGTATAGCACAGTGATTTTGACTGTAGGCTGTTTGGACAGTCAGATGCCAAACTCAAGCTGGTTTCAGCCCTGGAGCATCGACAGGGACTGTAATATTGCGAAAGGAATGAGTCGCACGTGTTTGGACATGAGCAAAGCACCAATTCAGGATGAGAAGCAAAGAAGCGAGTTTCCGCTGCGCTGCAACAGGCCCCGCAGCCGTCCGCCTGCCTCCAGCGGGGAGCTTGTCACCACATTACAGTCAACTGCAAGGCTCCAGCTGACAGCCTTTCCTCTCCTCTCCTCCTCCTCCAGCTGAAGCACCTCAACGCAGCCCAGCGTTTTCAGCATTGCGTTAGCCTGTGGCCTTATCTCTGCCTTTAACAGCACCTACTAATGGGTCTTGGGCTTGCCTGAACCTTTAGGTACTGGCCTGGTGCAAAAGGGCCAGACTGATTTCATTTGCACCAGGCCTGAATGCAGGATAACTTAAGGAATTTCGATAGCCTCATTAAGGATGTGATGTAGCAGAGCATCGGCTTGCAAATTTGGCCCATGCCCCTTCTCTCCTGGCCAGCACCTGGGCACGATGCCTCCAGCTATGCTTCCAAAGCAGAAGGAAAGCAACAGGCGAGTGATGTATTAGGTGAGGAAAATGAGAGAGGGGAGGACGAAACGCTGCAGATGCAGAGAGCTGGGAAGGTGGACAGGGAATGCCAGCAGCCCTGAGCCATGCTCCTTCCTCCTGTCCTCCAAGACTGCATGAAATTGGTTGATTCCCTTTCAAAAAGACAGTCCTTTCCACAGCTTGTAGGGGCTCTCTCAATAACGAGCACAGCCCCATTGACTTCTGAACCTTTGGGACTTTAAAGGGTCCGGCGGAAAAAATGGAGCAGCCAGACTAGTATAGGTTGCTGCAAGAAAGGACATGCTGGGGAGCAAGATGGTACTGCAAACACCCCTCTACAAAGCAGCAGATCCCTTTTTCCAATTCAGTGAGTGTGTTCATACAGGGTCATAGCTGGTCCTGTCCTCAGCAAGCCCACCAGGGAGATCGGCTGGAGCAGAATAAGAGGCAGCAACGCAGTCACTATCAGTTGGCTCAGTCCATGACTAGATAAGGACGAGGTGATAAAATGGGTGAGGGGCTAGGACACCAGTGCAAACACCAGTCCTTGTGGCATCAGATTTTTCCTTCTCTCCTTCCTTCTACTCTGAGAGTTTGGATGGAGAGTTTGGCCCCAAGGAATATTTCTGGGCCAGTTTGCATGGTTCACTGGCCTCCTGTCCTCAGCCCCGGGTGTACAAGTCCCTCATGGAGAAGGTGCACTTCTCCGGCGTTGCTGTCAGTGCCAGCTCTAGTAACGCAGGGGCTCGACCAGCATAGGACGCAGCAGGCTGGTAAGAGACCATGCAGCAACGTAACTTCTCCCATCATCCGACCTAAAACACACACTACAGGATGAGGGCAGATATAGCTTTGTAACCCCCTAATGATCTTGCCTTTAAGCTAGATATCACCAGGGATTTCCAGTCCTAGTTAACTACAGACACCATGCCTGCAAGGTTTCCCCTGGACCATTCATTTTGCTCGATGATACTTTAAAGAGACATTTAATGAGGATAATCAGATTCAAATCCTCTCTGCTCTTGGGTAGCAGAGCAATTTAGTCCCCCTCAAACTCTATTTCCCCCTTCTCATATGAATCACTCTGGGGTTTCCTTTGCTTTTTGCAT